GCAGGAATAATATAGGAATACCTTTAAAGTTTATTATATTAACAGTGATGCAAGGAAAAATCTTGAGAAAAGCTAATTACTAACTCAACTGCCTTTCCTGGGTTCTCACAGCGTCACTAGAGGGCGCCACTGATATATTCTAAATAAGTCTAAGTTTTTTTTTTATTGTTTGCTCTAGAGACTTTAGGAAGGGTTTTTGTTACATCTGGTACATAATCTCGCCCTTGGAGCTGGAGCGTGTGTCCTAAATTTGCATACAGTTCTACTTTGGAAGTTTCATCCGCAATCCTCAGTGCAAGCTCTGCCTATTTGCTCCTCCTAGTCTCATTTCGAAGGTGAGAGGCAGCTTTTCTGCAGGGGATCCTGTGTGAATGGGCTGGTCGCAGGTATTGTGTGGGAGGAGGGAGCAGGGACCACAGAGTGCAGAGAATTCACCAACTGACTTGTTTAAGCTGACTTAGTGTGAATATCAGCTGAGTCAGAATTGGTGGATGTATGTGCATGGTGTGAAAGCCCTACTGTTTTTTTATCTTCAGCAGCAGCATCGCGCGTTGTGCGCCTTGGTGACCCACAGCCTGCTCATCTCTGTTGGATCATGTGGATTATTTTGGTTTTTATCCTGGCAGCAGCCTGTCCCGATGGGACCTGGGGATGTCAGCTGCCCCACGACTGGAGACCGCAGACAGAAGCGTGCCGCGCAGAGCTGGCGGAGATCATAGTGTTTGCCAAGGTGTTGGCACTGCATAAGGAGTCCTACAGTGTGTATAACTACCTTCCGTGGCAGCACGACACCGACCTGCTTTTCTCCGCCGAAATCGAGCTGCTGTGCGACCAAGCTTGGGGCAGCATGCTGGAGGTCCCCGCAGGCTCTAGGTTTAATGTCACCGGCCTGGGTTACTTCCCTTGCTTCTCTTACAGTGTCACCAAAAACAATAATTACTACTTCTTTCTAAGGTGAGGAACCCAGCCCTGCTCTTCTCTATTTATCCATTCATGAACATGATTTCTTGCCACATACGTATTGTTTCATTCGCCCCTACACATTGATCGAGTCAGTCCATACTCAACCACCACTTTAGGCTTCAGCCAGAAAGTTACAGAATAAAACTGTTAGGATTTATTTCCAACAAAAGAAACAGTTCACATTGTATCATCATTTGGTCACAAGGATGTTATAAGCCTACTGAAAGTTTCAAGCATCACTTTTGTTATATTCATAGGCTGTATGCTGAATTTAATTGTTTGTTTCTGCAGTTACACAGAGATGACAAGCATGACTCTCTTGTCCAGATGTGTCTCAAAGTTAGAATAAACTTAGCTTTGTTATGTCAGATCACAGAGCACATGCAAATGTGTGTTGGATCCTTTGACCAAGTAGGTCCAGGAGAGTTTATTTAAACTGGAGGAGTAAAGTTTCATCAATTAAGTGATAAGTGGTTAACCATAGGAAAGTCTCAAAAAGGCAATTAAGTATAACCATTACAGAATATCATCTGTATTCAGTATATTTATTGTCCATTAAAATGTCTGAGTATCAACCACAAAGTTTACATAATGCAATTATCTTTTGTATAATCCAAAATCCATGGGTTGAAACATCACCTCCTCTCTCTGCCTGGCCTGTCTGCCAAATGAAAACCAGCAACTGTTCAAACCTGTGCTGAGGTCTGTCATGAAAGGAACTAAAGACTCCCAGAGGAGTCAATCAATCATCATCCAGTAAGGAAGCATTCACACTCAAAGGCAGATCATGGCTCCATCCTCACATATTCTCTCTTGATCAGTATCAGTCCATGTGATCCCATATTGATTTCAGGATAATAATATGTTTAATAACCTGCCAAACCTTCCACTCTGATTTCCAAAAAAGGATCTGGAAGGTGTTAGACAGAAACAATACTGTTACTCAGGAAACCTCTGTTACCTTCCATCCAGTGTAATTACAGTGCCAGACATTTCCCACCAGCTTCAAGGTAAACCTGCAAAGAATTTTCACTGAGGGGAGTCATCAGCACACCAGCAGCCAGTAGGACCACCCTTTGTCTACTGAAACACACCAGTGTACCATTCAGTGAAGCGAACATGTGCTGACAGGCCTTACCGACATTTGTCTCACATTCTCCTTTTTCTGTCCAACAGATGAGGAGATAGATATTCAGAGGGGGGCAGTGAAAAACCACATTCAGTTTTAATGCTTGGCATATGTTACACATCATCGGGACAGAATCACACATGTCACATGTGTGACTGTGTATTTCCATGTGGGATGATGGCTAAGACTTTTAATATGGTTTCATAGGTTTCAGTTAGTCACACCTCCAGGCATAAGTCTGCCATCCCCTGATGCGATGGTTAAAACATCCCTGTAATCAAGCTAAGTGACCACCATTGGAAACTTCCTGGAACTAGTCACAACAGAGCTCAGTTTAAGTGCAGGCCTGATTATAATTATGAAGCAATTATTACAGCGAACCAGCGCAGTGGTCTTTTGTTAGGTGATGTAATGGAGGTCAACCTTCTGAAGTTGTTTACACACATTTTTGCTGAAGACTGTAGCCCATATGGGAGACAGCACATATTTCTGATGGATATATTAATGTATTAATGATTAATGAGGTTTATTATCCTCTTTGGCTACTAAGGATTTGCAACATTGCCAAGTGCTCCTGTGAAATTTAAATGACTGTGCTGTAATTGCTCTCTAATTACAACAGAGCTCATTCTTGTTTTTGTTCCAAAATAAAATTCTGAACAGAAACTGTTTTAAATGCCAAGTACCCAGCAGCAGTCCATCATTTTGTGAAAGAGTTTTTTTTTTCTACTTAAAGCTTGATGAAAAGACTGATATCAGTGTCACGTCTACCCCTTAAAGCTAGAGCCAATAGCTGGTTAGCTTAGTTTAGCATAAATACTGGAAATAATGCTTAAAACAAATGTGTTAATTATCCAACCGTAGTCATGCTGGTAAGTGAATTTTGCTACCCTCAGACCGATCCAGGTTAGAATGATTACAGGGTTTATGCTAAGCTAAGCTAAATTGTAACTGATCTATATCTAATGTACACACATGAGAGTGGTATCAATCCTCTCATTTAGCTCTATAAGGCAAATAAGTGTATTTCCCAGCTTTCATAAAACATATCACTGAACTAGTAGGAATGAACCTTAAAGAAGTGTATCACAATCATTTTGTTTTGATCTTTATTACTTATAAGTCTTTCTGATAAATAAAGTGCTATTTTTGTAACCGGATGTGTTATTTGTTCATAAAGCCTGATGCCAGTGGTTCTGAAAATTACCCATCAACTTGGTTTAAAGAAATTAGGTATAGTTTAATAGTGTCTCTGCATGTCCTGATCTGTGGCATATTTCCTAACATGAGACATCACAAACCCAAAACAGAGCAGTTTAGAGTTTCAAAAGAGCCTTATTGCAGCTGCTTAGCAACACCGTGTCCCAGACGCTGCATATTAGCAAGCCAAAAATGGAAAGTTCTCATCACAGTCTCCAGTGGATATCCATTTCCTGTAAAAGCCCCAACAACACTGGCTCAGACCAGAATAGTCTCTCCAATCAATCATGAGTATCAGCTGCCATGCAGGATAGGACAAATCAGAGCCTTCCATCTGACCTTTGACCTTTTCTATAGCTGCAAAACATCAACTTTCTTCTTACTCTTTTTATGTACATACCAACATACACATCACACACAGAGACAACCAAACTTTTGATGTCCCTCGAGGGTTACGAGATGGAATCCAGATGTACGGAAAGCTCGCTGCTTCAAGACTTCCTCCCTCACACAGTTCACATCGCAGGGGAAGATATGAAACATGCACAGTAAATCCCTTTGCCTTGTAATTTACTTGAGTCAACTACATAATGCCTGTATTTGCATAAAAAGAAAGCAGGGTCTGTTAGCAATTCTGTATATAGAAAAATGTTTAGGAAGTTTTGTTCTAAAATGTTCCAACTTTTACTGTTGACATGTGTCTGCATGCTGTTATTCAGTAAATCAGAGTCATGAATAATTTGGCTGAGCTTACTTTGATTTAAATTGAATGTACTGTTCCTTGTTGCTCAGTTTCTTAGTTTTTTATGACTGATATAAAAGAAAATGGGTCTGTGTTTAAACATCTAGGTTGTTAGACATTAATGTTTGCCTTTTTTCTCAAGTGTAGACAGTCTTTTGCTTATCTGCCTTGCAGGATGGATGAGAACTACAATATTGTCCCTCATGGAGTGAACTTCCAGGACCCCATCTTCCCCGACACTGCAGATAACCATCGCATGTTTGCCAGCCTTTTCCAGTTTTCCAACTGCACACCTGGGACTCAAGTCCACAGCTTCACCCCGGAGTGGGAGGCCCAGGAGGACAGCAGGGTATGTAGGCACTTCAGATCCTCTAACCTAAAACAGTTGCTACTGTGTCATGCTCAGTTATTAAAAAGGGCTTCTGTTGTGACTGAGTTGTTCCAGATTCATGGTAGATTCACATGTACAGTACTTTGTGGAAAAGAGTGCAATAAGGCCCAGTAGCCTGTAGTATGGTGGTGTGCGCAGAAGAGATTCAAGTTTACATTCTGTTGTAATCAAAGGAAGTTCTTATTGCATGGGAAATCAAACACACACTATGTTTAAAGAAAAAAATCAACAATTATTTTTTGCAGCTCTTGGGCAAACCATTTAGTTTTTTATATTAAGAGACCCCTAACATTAAAGTGACACCATATAGAAACAATAGTCTTTAATTGACTACAATTTTAAGAGTACTCTATTTAGCATTACACATAAGACATCATGCTAAGTTGCTTACTAATATTAGCTTATATCAATCAGAAGTAAAAAATATATATACCGATAGCAACCTCTCTTAAGAAAATATCTATAGCCTATTATAACATTTTCAGACTTGTGATGGGCAGTTTAAAAACATACCAAAATCAGTGCATAGAACAAGGTATATCATCACACATTCTTTTTCTTTGTTAAAGAGCGGTACATGCATTATCCAAAATGCAAGGCATGCCCTGATAGCTCAGGAAAACACTGGGGTGTACCCATCTCTCGTCCACTGTCAGATGGGATTGGCTCTACAGGATAGCCAGTAAAATAATGGAGGACTGGTTAATTGTTTCCTGATATTTTATAGACTAAATGATTGATTAAGACAATATACGGTAATATAAATATTCATCGGTTGCAATAATAAGTTGAAATCCATCACAAAGGAAACAGTAACATTAGTAGACCAGAACACAAGTGTAGCCACAGAACATGATGCATATAGAAAAAAAAGGATGATTATTGATGAACAGCAAAACTATAACTTTTTACCCATTTATATAACCGTGGTTTTATCCATTGTATGGGGGATATTGAAAGGAATTTATGGAAAATGCAGAAAATCGCTAACTACCAGGGAAAGTGGATACATCATAAAAGTAAATTGTAGTTCTTAATTACAAAATAGCTCCTGGAGTTAAACATGGAGCCTACAGTATAACAGTGTGGAGGTATCTGAAGGTCACTATTCTGTGTAAAGCCTATGGGTATAGATGGACATGAGATTTTATGGTGATTTGAACCAATAAGCTTCAGATCTAGCTCACACCTTGCTGTCACTGTTTAACTGATCAAAGCTTGTTTGCACTTACACACCACTGGCGAACATCTGCTGCTGCTCTACTCTGTAAACATTGTTTGTCTCAGTCTGTGTGTGGGTATATAAATAGTTTCCAGTCACTCATGACCACGTTATACCTTTTAATGATTCCAGACCTTTGGCATAATGCTCCTGATTTAGGTCAGTCTTCTTCTGCCTGTTCCCAATTATTTGCTGCCATGGGTAAGTCAAAGGACATCAGCATTTACCAGCAATTATGTAACAGAGGTGCACTGTGGGAAAAGCCTTACCCAGCATTTTGAGAACATGAGCTAAATGAGGGTATAAATGTAAGAATATCTTCCCCTCAGCTGCTCCCTCAAAGTTATTTTTCAAGTCGCATGGAGTACTGCACAGCCTATGAAAACAATTCTAATTATAATATATTCTGAAGATTACTCTAGTAACATAAGTAAGTCTTATTTTGAGATTTTACCTTCCTTTGACATTAACAGAAAACCTGCTTTATGAACTCTTGTTATATAAATGCCAATGTCTCCTCTGTGTCTCTGTCGTTCCTTTGTGTGTCGGCGCTACTGTTTTTTATTATGCTTAAACGTGACAAAAGCTCGACTAGTTGTGCAAAACAAAACAAGCTTCCCTATGAGTTGTAAAAAGAGGAATGCTGAAGCTGTTTCCTCTCAGCTCTGCATTATGGAGATATGATTTCCTGAACATGCTTCTGTGGTCATAAACCCCTAGGATCAGCTAAAATTTATGACTGAAGGTAATTAAAGTACATGCTGCTGCATTTTATATGATAAGATCAAGTTGCCTTCCCTTACTGAGAAATGTACTAGCCATTGAGACTGTATATATTTATCTAAAGAAACCTTTGTCAGAAAATGTGTCATCTTATAGTTTATATTTGCTGCTCTGGACATTCTTTCTTTGTATATAAAGTTTCCCATCCCTTTCAGATCCCTATGGGGCATAAGTAAGAGCACATGGGAAAAATCCACAGTCAGTATTCCAGTGAGTGATGTGGGTTGGCAGCCGGTAGCATATTTCTAACATTTCCTCAAAACTCTCACCGGTTGTTATCTGATGGTAAAGAGTTTACATGAGTGTTTCCCGCTGGTACATGTGGAAGCATTAGGGCATATAGAGGATATCCGTGCTCAGGCAGACAGGCCTGCAGTCCGGGGCATCTGGAGAAGGTCCAGGCCTTTGGAGCGTCTGTCTTAAGTTCACAGGCATGTTGGGTTTCGTCTCTCAGCGGTGTCTTACTGAGGTAAAGAGAGTATTTTGTATAACTATTTTCTTTACCTCAGATTTATCTTGGAGCTATACAGTGTGTGTTGTGCTTACTGTCCATAAATTGGCTGGTACATAAAGAGCAGGACATACAGGACATGGGAACGCTTAAATTCTTTAGACGCATTTCACCGGGCTGCTTCATAGCAAGAAAGGTACAGTCTCAAAAATACTCAGTGATCAATTTCTTGACTTTTTCTTTGTTTTCTTTCCGGGCTGCAAGCCGCCGACAATGTCTTTGTTAGCACAGTGGAATAAGCTGAAAGTCATATGAGCTGTTGGTTCTGGTTGCTGTCTATCTAAAGGACATGGCATTTATTTGACTCATCCAAAGTCATAAATATAACAAAAATATATTAAATGTGACATTAGTATTTAGCATGAGCCGAGATGGAATAAAACTGCATTCCGTTCAAATGGCAGATCAGGATGAAATTTAGTGTGAAATCCTGCAGAATGTAAACAGATACTGGTCTTCATTAAGCAGTAAGTTGCAAGTAAACAGTTGAATTTTCAAATGGGTCACGGTTAAGAACAGATTTACCTGAACTTCCCTTCACTTAATTAAATGTCCTTCATACTTTTATGGATGTTTAAATACATTTTTACTGTAAAAAACTGGAATAACCAAACGCATCTTTGTCTTTCTCTTGGCAGTTGTTGTGCTCCACGGTGCAGAAGGCTCTGTTCGAGGAGGAGGAGAGGGTGAGGACTCTCTCCCAGAAGGTGCGGTCTTTGGAGAAAGCCAACAGCCACCTGAGGGAAAAGGTGAAGACCATGAAACGTCTGCTACGCCAAGCCCAGCGAGAAAAAATGAAGGAGCACCAGACACTCACCCTCAAACAGCTGTACGAGTCCGAGTCGCCCCAGACGCACCCCGATCAGGACACTATACACGACCAGAAGGTCAAAACGGTCCTCTCTAAGAAGCTGAAAAGTTAGTTTATTTCCTGTGGTTGTATGTAAGCCAAATTCTGCTCCCTATAAGGCATCGGTGACACTGAATGAAAAGCTGGGGGAGGTGACAGCAACAGCAGGAACAAGTGGCAGTGTTGATCACTGAGAGTAACATGATGGGCTTTAATTGCAATTTCATTGTATTCTCCATGTCTCCAACCTAATTAATATACTTCTTTCATATCAATAAGTCTCAAATGCATGACCAAATCTGTCTATTTTGTTGGTCCAACAAAATACTCCAGTGTTATTTCCTGGTAAAATTGGCGTTGACAGTGAGCTACAAAAAGACCATTTATAGCTTTATATGATCATTCTCTCTGAAAAACTGTTGCCGTTTCCTGCCCTAACCCCCAGCGTTTACCTGGGTCCACTAGTTTAGTTCAGCACAATCATTTTCCAGTGTTCTACTGGAAAATAAATACAACTTTTCATCAATTTTTCTGTGCCGGGCACATAATGCATTATCACCAAACTGCTCCACTCAACTGTGTGTTGCTACTTGTCTCATCTTCCAGGCAGAGCAGCACAGTTATAATCTATACTCGGGTGAAGTTCACTCATAATCAGACTGCAGATCAGAGGTTAAGGGGACACAAATAACCAGTTCTTAATTGCAATGAGTGTAAGAAAGTGCAGAATGTACAAGTTCTGAGCATTAAAAATCTTGTGTGTGAAAATACACAACACTCAGACTATATGTGAGTGTATATTTACAGAGGAGCACCTCTGCCAATGTTTAAAGATGGTAAGACCTAAGGTTATGTCACATATTTCTTTCTTTAAAATGTGGCTGCTTTATATTTGCTTGTTTGATTTATTTATACACAGCACAGCATCCCAAACTGTAGTAATTCAAATTCTTGTTTCTTTGAATATTTTACATACAATGCAAGCTGTATTGAGTGAAAGTGTAATTTTTGTGTTTGAACACAGGGTGCTGAGCACCTATGAAGTCCAGCCAGTGAGTCTGGCATGGTACAGGATTGGCTTTTTCTGTGTCAGAAATGAAAGTTCTCTTTTATAATACTTTCTGTATGTGCTTTTTTTATTATGATTATTTTGCTTTCTCTAAAGTTTAAACATTTGGTTTGCTTTGCCAGTGGCATAATCATTTGTGTAACCCATGATGTTTTTTAAATAAATAAAAGACCTTTTATAATACACCCTATGTGGATGTTTTAGTTGTCACAGTTAAATTCATTGGTATAACATGCATATGCTTTCTTTTTGGTCAAATTAAAAGAAATGAAACATTTCATTATAAAAAAAAATAATACATCCATACGTTATAGCCCCCTAAAGAGTATCAGAGACGTTCTTGATGTGTAGTCATCATAATGATATGTCATGCCTTCAGCATATGCTGTAATAGAAACAAAAAAACGTCAGCATTGTGTAAAAAAAAAGTTACTTCCTATGCAGCAGCACAGTCAATACAATGGAACAAAGAGTAAAACTTTCAGGCTGCATTTGCAAACCGCAGAACTGTAGGTTCTGTAATCTGGATGTGTTTACATCCCTTTGTTTTCCAGACTTGTGTGAAAAGCAACAGAAAGAGTTTCATGTAACCGTTTCGTGATACAGACGCGTCCAACAGTCTAACCTTATTATATGTTCTAAATTTCTTTTCATCTGCAACAATGACATATTAAAATGAACAAGAGTGTGGCTGCATAGCATCCACACAATGAATATAGCCAAACAGCAGAACAAAGTGATTACTGAGAGAGCTGTGATGCAGGAGGGTAATGATTTCAAGTTTCAACCTCACTTGTCATGTTTCCTGCTTTCCATGTACTCAAGTCAGGAATGATGCATGCTTTCTGGCATGCACAAAATGATTAGCATGATTCATTGCTAATAGAAAAAACATTTTCAAAGAACTAGTGTCAATCTCAGAAGCATCATAAATCCTAAAAATAAAATGGATCTATTTTGACCTGTTCCTCTGTCCATTTTATGTCCAGTTTGCTTTCAGTAAGGCTACTGGACCATTTCAGACATAAAATCATCTTGGCAGAAAAAAACTGTCAACACAGTGTTCAGGAGAACTGAAGCAAATTTCTTCCATATGGGGCTGAGAGGCAGGGTTTGCATGGCAGGAAAAGAGAAACATTAAAAAAACTGACAAATTTCAAACATGTTTTCTCTTCTTTTGCAAGGACTGTTTTGCAGTAAAGCATGCTAGGAAGGGGATATTTACTGGCCTCTTTTGCTTACTGCTTGACCTCCGGAGCAAAAACAGCAAGTGTTGCAGCTCCACACACCTCCTCTCTTGTACTTGTTAGCGCTTTCTTCTCCACATCAAAATCTTTGCATCAGACAACCTTGCCTGCAGCTAACTCTCAAAATCACATGAACTTCATCCAAAAACGATATACACACACTGCTTTCCCAGTATAAACCACTGCGCACAGCCAATCTGCAAAACAGATGTCAGGCAACGTCTGAACAGTGGTGGTCCCTTCCAGGGGACCTGGCTATGTGTGAACATGGTTTATTTGTCTTGTCTTGTTTTATGTTTTCAAATGCTGTTATTTTCTCTGGCTGCTCCAATGTAACTTTTTTGTACTGATAAACCCATAGCATCAGATTGATTAATTCAGTGTGTCTTTTTTCTCATATTTTCTCAAGCAGCTACACTTAGTCTTTCACTCTGTCATTCATTGCTCTGTGAGAAGAAATCCATGAAAGGTTTCTAGTTCTGAGCTTTCTAATCAGCCACTGGCCTCGTTGTGTATGTCTGCACTTTGAGAACCAGTGTTTCCCTTTAAGAAACTAAGAACAATTGTTGCATTTTGAATTAATCACTTGTGCTTTGAGCTAAAGGCTAGGATGCTAATGTAACAAAGTAAATTATTTCACCTACCATTATTTCAGGTGATCACAGTTACATTTTTTTGACATTCCTGTGTTTTACTCTTAATTTATTTACTATTTTTATATTATTCTTGTTTATAATATATAATGCATTAATTTTCCCATTGGGGTTGGTGTGTGGTGTGTTAGTGCTCGCAAAACTCTGTTACCAGTTTACAGTGCCCTGTCTATGGAAGAGGATTAGGGTTGATAAACTTTAATACAATAAATAATAATAATGTTAATAAACTTAACATGGTTAAGTAACTTTTTTGTTGAAAAAAAGTGTGTTTTATGATGTGTTTTATCCCTGTGGAACATTTTTCCCTATTATCTCTGTACTTTGGCGAGGAAGAGGTAACTTTTCACTGTTGTCTGCCATGTCTGTTTCAATAAGGATGACGGATGCGTGTTTGCCTCAGAGAGCTCTGCTGTTCCAGTCTGAATAAAATCACCATACCATGGTTTTAGCCCCAGTCCTACCCCATGTAAACTCACTCTCAAGACCCCAGAGAGGGAACTTCAGTATTTTGGCAAGCTAAAAAGAGTGAGCTCAGTATTTTTCTTTAAAGTTGCAATAATGACCACAACACTAGCTAAGATTTCTTTGACCTTGAGGGTTCTGTTGTTCTTTTTCACTCTGGGAAAGAGCTTGTCATGTTCACAGTTCCTGAGACCATAATACAAAAATTTCATATCTGCTGGAAGCAGTGATGGAAAGTACATTTAGACAAGTATGGTACTTAAGTACAGTTTTTAGGTATTTGTACTTTACTTGCATATTTTCATTTTCTACTTCATACTTTTTACTTCACTACATTTAATTGATAAATTTAGTTACTAGTTAGTTTTCAGAACCAGATTCACTATACAGAAAACAACATAATCATCTGACTTTATTAATGTCTGGTGTAATGAATATTTTTACTTTTGGTATTTTAAGTGTAGAGTATTGTTATGGCAATACTTTTGTACTTTTACCTAAGTAATTTTTGAATGCAGGACTTTTATTAGCACCACAGGAGTAAAAACAAGTTCTAGTAGTTGTGACATTGTTCTCTTTCTTCCATCTTTCTTCACCCATTTGACTAGAAACCACTGTCTTTACCTTCCTAACAGCCTACTTCTTTCCCTTACTCCTCCTTTTCCTTTCTTCTCTGTCCATCCTTCATTCAACAGTCTTCCTTTCTTCATCTGGGTTGCTGATGAAGTTCACAAAACAAGCAGCAGGGATTTGGCTTCATGTGTTTGTTGTTAGAGCTGCCTAGTCCTCGGTTAGATGTGAGGATGTTAGGTTCACGCTATACTTTCCATCCTGAATGTTTATGGGATTTCTTCTTTTTTTTTTTTTTTTTTTTTGGTGATTGTTCAAAAATTGAGGCTTTTCACTCTCATTCTGGAGTTTAGAAAGAGGAGCATCAAACTGTGGGTTGATTGTTGTGTGGCTTACTGGAGTCAGATGTTGCTATTTTTGATAAACACTGAGACGCCACATGCGTGCGTTGGTCAGTGCCTCAGATCAGAATGAGTTCTGAAGTATTAGCTGAACCATAACCAAATGATGATGAGGTTTAGAAATGGAGCAGTCTGTGCATCAGATGAAGAGAGAGAGGATGTCTGTGTGACAGTGGAGCCTGATGGACCCTGCAGTGTGGTGATGAAAGGTCATGATGAATTGTTTTGGAACCCTTCAGTACTGCTGGAACACTTATTGAGATTAAAAGGCTTGCAGAATATCTTAATGCAATCAAGCCAATGTGTTTGTGCAGCCCCACTCTCAAATACTCTACACAAATACTACTTAACTTAAGCTAGACCTGACTAACCTAAGTGACATAGATCATTTTTAAACAAGCAAAAGCTAATTACTTTGTTGTGAAGCAGGTAGAGGGAAAATGTTACACAAAAAGAAAACACTTTTTAGAAAATCAGCAGCTCTCTATAGACTGTTAATACTGTGAAATTAATATTTTAATTGGATTATAAGATAGCTTTTGGCAAAAGTAATGGATTGTAAATTTAAAAACACCTTAAAATTAACCAAAAACAATGAAAACCACCTCTGAGTGTATTCCTTACAATGCATTCCTTTTTCAGTTCAGGTATAAGAGGATACCCCAGCATATACTGAGAAGAGGGAGATACATCCTGGTTGGGTTGCCAGTCTATAGCCCCTTGTCCACCGCCTGCTACTGGCTCAACTTGCATGAAAATCCACTCATGTTTGAGTAGTGGGAGGAAACCAGAACATGCACGTGCACAAACACACTTGTACTTCTATCTTTGTGAGGACACTCACTGAAATAATGCATTCCTCAGCCCCCTACCCTAATACTTAACCATCAGAACTAAATGAATAAAGAGAAGATTCAATACTGGATTAAAGTCTCAGTTAATATCGAAAACCAAAATAGTAGTAACTTTTTAATGGATCCTTCTGAAGTTCTATTTTGTATGAGTCACTGGGCATGTTGCAGCATATTTAATATGCACCTCTGTCACTAAGCAGCACTCCTTGCACCTTGGTACAAATCCATCTTGTATAACAAGGCTGAGCTTATTATGTGAACTGACAAGAGTTTTCCAAAAGCACAGCCCTGCAGTCTGCAAAATGCATAGTGCATGTGTATGTGTTTGCATTTAGATGGGATTTTACTAAATCAAGTTGGTTTTGTTGAGAACAGAGAGAATGAATTCTGGCAGAGCATTTGTTTAGTGGCAAAACTGAAAGAACTGTTTTTATTTCTTCAGTTTAAATAAAGGGTTTAGGGGCTAAGGCATAAAGAAAGGGTAATTTGAAGGTTTTAGTAAGTAAACAAGAACAGAAAACACAGAAATGTTCCTGGAAGCAGCTGCAGTGTTGGACTAGTGACCTGGTCAGAATGAATGAAGAAGTAAAACTGGGTTACACAAGTTTTTTTCACATGGACACATGCATAACGTACATTTCTCTGCCAGCAAACCCAGCAACATGGAACCTTAACGATCTAGAATTTCACTATGTGTCATTCCTGATGTCCTTTGAAATCAGTCCCAAATCGCATTCTAGATGTGCAGAAGTGTGAAAAAACACTGAAAATGTTCCTGCTCTTTTTAGGTTTTCTTGTGTTTCTTTTTCATCCTTATACATCTGAGACTGAGAAGCAGAGTCAGGGTAAACTCTACACACAGGCCAGTGTTAGATGTATTACGAATGCAAGTAAAATGGATATCAAGTTTCTGGAAATGTTTGACCCTAATTACAGGCTGAATTCTCCCAGCAGTGGCTCTCTGCATGTTGCCAGATCCTCTCCATCCCATTTTTTTTTAAATCCTCCTCTCCATTCTGCTGATTATTACCAACTGTAGTTTGCACAGTCATGCATGACTCTGAGGGTCTGCAACTTTTCATACATTGCAGTACTCTGTGCTGATGCTCCAAGCAGCCTTTGTATTTACTCCATGTTGTAAGATCTCTGAACGTCTTTTTGGATTTGAACAGAGTGAAATTTAGGTTTAAGAACCAGCTTTTGAGATTTAGTAAAAAAAAAAAACTTTCTACCATTAGCTTCTGCTGAAATGAGTCATTCACAGTGAGTGAACTGTTCACAAAGTGCATGTCACTCATCTCCAGGGCACTGAGAAGAGGATGATGTGTTGCCTTCTGATCCAGCACCTCAGAGAACTTGGCTTGCTCAAACTCAAACAACCTGGTTTTACTCATACAACAATGTGAGGCCACAAGACAGAGGAGAAATGGAACTGGAAAATCTTTTTACATTAATTATTTTTGTCTGTTTCTCTGCATTTTGTTCCAAAGAAAATATTTGGCCAAGATGCTCTGTGATGTTTGACGCTGCACCCAAAACAAATGCACAACTAGGTACTAGGACACAATCTCACTGATTAAAGAGGGGAATATGAGCGTGTGTGTGTTTATTTGGTGTTTTGTCCATAAAGCCACTCTAAGTCAATTCATACAGTTATATGTCAGGCAAGATCCCAGGTTGCATGCCATGGTATGTGTTGTTTGGACTGTTCAAAACATAGGCTGTAAGATATTGTCTGCTTCTTTTAACAAAAAACAACAAAAAAAAGTTGAGACACTGAATTTGTGGGCAGTTCTACCGAGGAGGTCATGTTTTCATTTGTCTTTATCTATTTGTCTGCTTCTACTCCGGTTTTGTTGACTTTTGCATTAAGTTTGAGCCATGGGCTATGGACGATTTTGGTGGAGATGCTTTATAACTAAAGTAAATGGTCATGTAAATCATGTATCCACTGTAAAGAACTTTTTGCTCCTTGCTCCTAAACTCTGAGGTGTACAAGCTAAACCTGTAGCAATTAGATTTCCCACCAAAACACAAGTATTAAAAACACATACATACCCAATTTTTTGGACATAATGAACACATCCTGAGAGCACTGACAGATATTAGCACAACAGATTCCTGGTGGCAGATAGGAGCGCTGTGTGTGAGCTTCATCTTTCATTGCACACACACTTCTTTCAAACTTTAACACAGCTGAAGATAACTCTGGATGGTGAAAAGATATTTGATGTGAGATGTACATTTCTATTAAAGATAAACTCATATAGAGCTTTTCTGTCATTTGAACTACAGTAGCTTATCACTTACCTTCATAGTTATTGAAGTATAACTTGATGCTAGAGGTCATCTTGGAGAAGAGTGACAAAGGTCTATGGGCCTGCAGGTAGCAGAGCTCACCAAACGCAGCAAGACCAACCGTGCACTGGAGTTTTAGTCATGCTAATGACAGGGCTCTGTGGTAACCCTCATCTGAGTTCACCCTGTTGGCTAAATTGCCTTGAACATTTGTACAGACATTCATGATGCCCCACTAGCTGAGTCGTAATGATTTTGGTGATGACCTTTGCCCTAGTGCCACCCTGAGTTGGACATTTTTTGTTTCAAGTGAAATGTCTCTACAACTGTTGGAAGATTGTTTAAATCTGTATAGATATTTATGTCCTCCTCTGCAGAAGCTGCTATTAAGTTGGACATTCCTTCATTTCTTGTATCAGTAACAGATCAAAAAAAATTTTGTTCAATATTTTAGTTCATGAAGCCTTTGTGTTTAGTGCTAATTAGCGAATGTTAGCATGCTAGCACACTGAACTGAGATGATTCCACCTGACAATGCTAACATGCTAATGTTAATGCCACATAGCTCAAATCATGTCATAAATTTAGGGATCTTCTGATTAATAGTCAAATATATAAACCCTCCCATGACCAGAACAATGAAGTTGAGTCAGTGCAGTCTTTGTCAGTATCAAGTTTCTCCCTTGGCCATGTTGCACTTCACTGTATTCTACTTTTCCACATTTAAACACCACTTGTGTCTTTGACTGCTCTCTTCCTTATGATTTATGTAATTTCCCTCCCAAGAGTTTGAATGAGTCCCTTGTTACTGGTTTGACCGCATCATTTTTACTCTGTCTGCTGTCTCCTAAATGAGGTTGACCACCAGACTTTCTTTTCCTCTCTGCTCTCTGGTGTCCTCCAGTGTAATGCTTCAACAACCAAACCACAAGCCTCAATTACCCAGCATTCCTTGGAGAAGAGGAGAGAGGCCTCATATAGCTAACTATTAAAGTAAGATTCAGGACAAACCTCTTAAGCCACAAAACAATTTCCTGAGATCAACAGTTGAAGAATTTCACCAGTGAAAAACCACCACTCTTATTCTATTATTATTAGCACTTTAATTCTAGGTTTTTGTTTTCTGACATTATCTCACTTAAATAATGCAGCAGCCAAACCTAATCACAGCCTATACAGTATATATATATGTGTGTGTGTGTATAGTAAAAAAGTAAATAAGATATTAATGTATTAATGAGAAACTCTACTGTAATTACTAAGGCTGTATAATTATGGGTCATAACAAACTGCTTGCACATACATTTTTGACTAGAAGAGTCCCGATCGACTGATGGGACTTGCGACTGATAATTGGACTAGTCGACTGTGAGGGGGCAGGTGTTTTGTAATAAGGAAACATGTAAACCAGGGCAGTGGTGTGTTTTGTCTGTAATTGTTTTGCTTTTGAATATGTAGATATATTATGAGTTGTTCAGTTTTTGTTTAAGTTGTTTTGTATTGAATTCGTTTTGTTTGGTAATGTTTTGTTATGATTATGTTTTTGATTATGACCTGCCAAGGGACTGCAAATGAAAATTAGCTTTAAGATAACTCTGGTACAATACATTAAATGATAACGTTTATGTTTATGGTTTCTTACAAATAAAAGTCGGGAAAAAGCCCCTTAACTTACACACACACACAACTAGCTGTTTTGTTACTCCTTGTGAGGACTTTACATTGACTTACATTCACTTTCTGTAGATTTGTCCAAATCTTAACCATAACCACTACTTGCCTAACCCTAACCCTGATCCCAACACTTAACCTAACACCTAACCTAAAACCATGTTGCCACCCTAAAATTCAGTGACTGGCTGAGTCCCCACAATGTGAGTGTTTTAACAGGTTTTATACAAACACACATCCACACACAGCATAATTTAAAAAAAAACTTTTTCAAATATTTTTTCAAATGAAAACTCCTTTGGTTCTAGAGTGACATCACAAAGGGACTCTTCACGGAATGCATGGTGTGATCTCTACACAGCACCCAACAGCAGAACTCCAACAGTCAAGACAAGTTGCAGGTGTGGATTTGTATTTTACTGACAAGTTTCATGTGTGAATTTGCATTTTACTGACAAGTTTCACATGTGAATTTGTATTTTACTGACAAATAATCTGTATTACAGCCTGTTAAACATCATAGAAGGCGATTTATAGCAGGAGTTTCAAACTCTTGACAAAAACAGCAGCACAGAGCCCTGTAGTGTCTCTGTCCAGACCAGGAGTATGGAAAGGAAGGTCAATACTGATGGTTTTAGGCCACAGAAGAGGACGTGTGTCTTCAAATCTGCCTTTGAACACATGAGAGGCAGAAAAAGAAAAGTCTCTGCAAATGAAGAAGACATAAAAAAGAGGCAGAGAACTTCTGAGACTGCAGAGGACTTTGTCAGGCTAAAGAGGAAAGCCACTGAAAATGAAGACAAACCAAAAGAGAGACAGAAGGTCTCCAAACTGAACCAGAGAGAAGAGGACACCACCTCATCATCACTGGATGCTGCACTACCTCAGATGAGGGACAACAACAACATGTCCACCTCAGAAACCAGAAAGCTGGAGTTTGAGGCAAAGTACCAGCAGCTGAGCCCATTGGGTGAAGGGGGCCATGGATCTGTCTATGCTGGTTACAGGAGAGCAGATCATTTCCCTGTGGCAATAAAACACATTCCCAGGGACAATATCATCTGTAAAGGCCTCACTCAGAACAGAAAGACAATCTCTCTTGAGGTGGCAGTCATGAAAAAGATGGCAGGTGGAGCAGCAGGATCAGTAAAGAAATCTGCAGCCATTTCTTTACTCGATCACTACGATCTGGAGCAGGAGCTGATCCTGATCCTGGAACGTCCATTGCCATCTAATGACCTCTGCAAATATATTGAGGTCAAAGGAGGGTCCCTGCAGGAGGAGGAGGCCAAACTGTTTTTAAAGCAACTTATAGAAGCCGCCATGGAGCTTCAAGCAAAAAAGGTTTTCCACAGGGACATCAAGTTGGAAAACATCTTGATTGAAACTGGAAGTAATGTCCCACAGTTGAGGCTAATTGATTTTGGTCTCAGCTGCTTCACAAAGAAGACCTCATCCTATAAGATCTTCTTTGGTACTGATGCCCACATCCCACCAGAATGGTACCAGTGCTACGTCTACAGGGCCGATTCCACCACAGTGTGGCAGCTGGGAGTGGTCCTGTATGACATGCTGCACAGGAACACACGATTTGAAACAACAAGGTTCCTGAGTGGTCAACTTGGCATCAGCAAGGAGTTGTCTCAAAACTGCCAGCAAATGTTGCGCCTGTGTCTGACTGTAGACCCACAGCAGCGGGCTTCTTTGGAGCAGCTCCAGCTTCACCCCTGGCTCGCATAAGCAGCCCTTCACCTCCTGGACACCTACGCAAACCACTCTTCCCATACCCACTACCTCTACCCTTCTTCCTAACCTTGTTCCCATGTGAAGTACTTCACAAGACTATAACATTCATTGTAAATAGAATGTAAATAAAACATTTAATACACATGTGTAATAGGGTTTTACATTAATGTTTTCATACCAAACATAGTTTAAAATAACAGTATTCTGGAAATATTTAGAACATGACAAGTTGTCCCTGACAAAATCTTAGGAAGTAGCTCTCAAAATGAATGCAATTCTCAATAGACATTTTTAAAGTTTTCGAATGGTGCCATATTAAATGCTGGCAGCAGCTGGTAAAACATACCTACAACAGCAGTATCATTTCACAGATGGCAGCCAAACTGAAATGATTTACTGCTGTTTTTGGAAATGTAATGTCAAATTTCTCATTGGTAACTCCAGACACAGATAATATTTTCAAGTGTCCAACAGAAGTAGCTGCAACTTTTATATCAAGTACTTTACATCCCTAATGTTGATATGCAGTAGGGTAATCCCACACAGGTAGAGTTCTCCTCAGGGCCATAGTGCCAGTTAAAGTTAAACATTTTGGTCTCACAGTGATCAATCCTGATGCAGCAGGGTGATGTAAGGGCCACCCTCCAGATAGGTGTGGCTAGAGCACAATGGTAAGGTGACAGAATGAATCCTAGCCTAGTTTTGTCCATGTAGGCTGAAAAGGCAACTACTGACACTTCTGACAGAGCTGCAGGCCTCAGTGGAGGGGCTGGTAATCTCCTGGTCAGTTCAGGAAGGGATATTAGCTCAGATTAAGCTCAGAGAGCTTTGGGAGCAAACAACCTGCTTTCATTGTGTGATCAAGACGACAGAGGACCACCGGCACCATGAGAGATGTCCAGTACTGTCCGCTTCTGCTGCTTTCTCTAGTCCTGCTAGCAACCAACAGTAAGGACAGGCTTTTCTTTTTCTGTATCGCTCCTTCTTTCATTCTCTCTTTAGTCTTTCCTCCTTCTCAATGCCTTGTCCACCTGTCATTTGAACCTGGTTAGTGTCCTCTTCTTTCTTGCCACTCTTGGATTTCCAAGAATAGTTAGCATTTATTGCTTTTCTGTGTGTCAGACTTTTTCCTCGGAGGCAGTTACCTTTAGGGTCAAACACTGCAAAAAGTGGTGCTGCTTTCAGAACAGGAAAATATTAAACATAACAACATTACAGTTATCTTTATTTCTCAGATGCCAAGCATGTTTATTGACTCCATTAGGACTATATTAAAGTAAATCCTTATAATAACACTTTATTTCATGTTAGATTTTTGCTAATTGCTGTTATATTTTCTGGTTATTCTCCAGAGTTTTACCTCCCTTCATTCTGTCATCCTCCTCTGTAACTAGCATGCAATCCCAGCAACTAATCTCCTAATAGGCCTGAAGGCTAATACCTAAAAGGATGTGTGTGAGTGGCTGTGCCGTGTGGACAGATTGGGGTCACCTACAAACATCAGGGGGCATTTATATTTCATGCCAACACACAGAGGAGCAAATAAACAGTGAATAAAGTAGTCAAACTACACAATTTCCTACAAAAAATACTGATTTACTGTTGTTGTTTTCACTTGTTCCAAATTAAGTTTCTGATATTGGAGCATCATATGATCCACCTTCTTCCATCTTTCCAGACATGGACTGTATTTGACCAAGACAAATCTATGCTTTATTGATTACTTAACTGTTTTCTTTCAATATGCCTTTTGACTACACTGCTTTAGTCAGTGTATTAGTGTGTGCTGTAGTTACTACACTGCTTTAGTCAGTGTATTAGTATGTGCTGTAGTTGCATTTCTTTTCTGTTTTTATCAGGTGAAGCTCTGCAGTGTTATACCTGTATAGGTTCCAATAATGATGACTGCAACCGGCAAGGTTCCAAATCCTGTCCCAGCTACTCTGACGCCTGCGCTGTGGTGATGGGCCGTGACAGTGAGTCCAACACTGACAGTGTAGTGGCCTTTTAACTTTCTTTTTTCTACAAACATGCATGAATTTCTGCATGTATGTTTGTGTGTTTAATGGAGGTGAGGCTGCTGTCTGGAGACATATCTCAGTCAGCAGGGAGTTCTAAGGCTTTCAAGGGAATGAAGAGCTTTGTTACTCCTGCTCAATCAATATCCTTAATAAGGACAGCATGTGCTCATGGCACCAAGACAATTCCTCTTCACAAAATTAAATTAACTCAGTTTCCTAACTTAAATCCACACAAGGTGAGGATTTTAAATAAAATACTAATTACCAAAAACTGAGGGAACAGCAAATGTGCCTAGAAATGACACATTATCAATGTTCTACTTTCTCCAAATTAATTTCTAGTGTCCGGTGTATGTACAGTACAGTAGTGTACATACACTGGACACCCACAGGCAAATTGACAAAATCAAAAATTAAGACAGGAAAACAAGATTAAAGCTTTATAACCTGACCTAACTGATCAGCCAGGGCAGTCTTGTTGTTTGGAAGAAATTTATTTTGGTTGGTCTGTGTAAAACAGCTGCTAAACTGACTTTGGTTTCTGTCTGTTTGTCAGGTGGGGTGATGAAGTCATGCTCCTACAAGTCCTTCTGCAGTCATGCCAACAGCCAGGGCTACAGAGCACCAGGTGTCAGAGTTCACTGCTGCTACAGTGATGACTGCAATGTGACGAGCTTTACTTCCCGGCTGCAACGGCCCAGCTATCTGCTGCTGTTCCTACCTTTATTGTTTCACGGCCTTTTCAAGTAGATGTATGAATCAGTGTCATCATGTCGAAAAGTTTCCATCCTCAACACAAACTTCTCATTTACTCCAAAAATCCCACATAATCCTGGCTGATTAAACATTTATATGCTGTTATAGTTACAATCATTGTACTTTGATTTCTCTAAACATAAACCGAGACTTCATAGATAAGCTTGAGGTGCTAGGTGTGACTGTGTGCATTACAGCATATGCACCATGTTGGTTTGAATCCATTAATGAGTAGGCAGATATATGCATATTTCAGTGGACTTAATCAGTAACTAAAGGATTTTAGGGGAAGTGCTGAAAAAACAGGTAAAAATCATTTATTATTTACTTCCTATATTAAAAAGGAAGAGATGCTTTTAATGTTCAGTGCACAAATAAGATCAAGTTGATCTTTTTGAGGTTTTACTAATCACAGTTACACTGAGTTACATTTTACTGAATCTATTGTCTTTTTTTTACCTACATACCTATATGTCGAAATATTTCAGGAGTGGTGGAAAATGCATAAAAGTACCACATACATTTGTTTATTGCATCAAGGCTTTTTGATTTTGTCAGGAACCTCTATTTAAACAAAATAAAAAAAAACAAACAAAGAAAATCTATTTCACTAAATTATAAAACGCTCTGGTGAAAATTATGACCTTTGTGTTGTTTGGGTTGGTTTTGACCTATAATAAAAGATTATAAAACAATAATTAGTGCCAAAACTGAAATCATAAACACACTGTCAGCTCAATAACACTGTTAGACAACAGCAATGACAGCCAGCTCCTCTCCCATCCCCGTGAGCTTTAGTTGGGGGCTTCTCTCTTTGCCTGTTTGTCTCCTTACCTGAACAAATAAAGCAAACCATGACAGACATGTAAGGCCTGCATAAGACCAATTCAGTTTAGAGTTGGTGACTTGCAGAGTATACATCTCCAGTTTGCAGCATGCGAAAATGAGAAGAAGATTTACAATAAGCCCAGCTCTGAATGACATCTTTGCTACTGGTTTGTGGGGGTCACCATATCGTGTGTGAAATTTTTTTTTACCAGCTATGACCTTAGACACGAACTTCTCAGGCGGAAACTTACCAAGGTGGGCACAATAAATTTTTTTTTTAAAAGCCTGAGCTGCCCGCAGAAATTTTGCAGGTGAAGGACAGGGCTCCACTTTTTTCAAAATTTGCTTTTACAGACACCACCACTACATTTCGTATTATTACTTGTTCTGATTTTCATTAATAAAACAAATTTATTTAGATGTGTTCTAATACCCCTCAGGTAGCATAACAACCTTTTATTTATTGATATGATTCTCTTTGAGGTTCATTTTACCTTTTTTTTTTTTTTTGGAAAACGAGAGGTATGCTGTCAAAAGAAAGGCCCAGGAGGTTACACTAAAAGTATTCAAACCAATCTTTTCACAGAGAAAGAAACCTAAGAAACAAATTGGATGAAAAATAATTGTTTTGAGGGTATTTTATGGCAGATTTTAGACATGGGTCAAAACCAACCTGTTAACGTAAGAGATAGAAACAGAAAACTAACATAAGAGCAAGGTTAAATTAGATTTTACATACATCCCATTTTTTTCTGATTTGGGGCTGTATGTCTTCCATACAAATCTGTTCCAAGCACAAGTCACTTTTCCACAACCCATGATGCATTGTTTCTGTGCATACAGTAGGTGCTGTAGCGCAAAACATCATTTATTAAGAGGCAAAATAGTAATCGTACAATATTCATTTGTACAACAAATCTTACCACAAACTGATCATTCCCTACCCGTGGGAGTCATCAAAGGAGAAACCTGCTGCACAAATCAACTCTTTCCTTTAGGCAGATGCACAGTAAAATTTCTGAATGAAATGTATGTGCTTTAAAAAGGATCAGTTTTAATGCAAAAGCTGTGGCGGTTTATCAAAACACCCTGCAATGAAGCACCTTTGAGGGCAAGGTCTGTAAGACTTCGTTTACCTAACTGTAATTCTAATATTGTTCCTGCTACTTTATGTTTACTCTTCGTATTTCATTATCACCTGTTTCATTGCACTTTAATTTTATTCTCCACGTTTCCATTTCCTGATTTTTCCTTTAGGTTAGATTTTGTCTTTAGGTTTTGCTTTGAAATAAATGTTTAATTTGAGCCCTTCTGGGATAGAGTACACTGAACCAACAAGAGCAATGTATAATGTAATGTATATTAGAACTATAAAATTTATCATCAGTAGGCAAAGTACACAAACTAAATCAGAGTGCAGGAGACATGACCAGCAATCAGCACTTGTGGCAATGGATCAAATTAGTTGAGTTGTTTTCATTCTCAGGAGACATTAATAAGCCTGTGGGCAGTGACTGCCTGTGCTTCTGTGGGTGTTTCACTGTCACAGTAATTCATGACGTACAAACAATTCACACTAAAAAGGTCCTGAAAAAATAATCACTTTTTTACTATGTTGTACAATTTAGAGTCACTAGCTACATTACTGTCCAAATACACAACACCTACAGTACCCAACAGAGAGAGCAGAATAAAGCTTATATAATGTTTTGAAGCAGCACACTGACCTTTGACCTGTTAGGGTTACAGCTTATGCTGCCCTCTACTCATCTGCATGACAAACTTTTGAAGAGGATATTTGAATTTCTGCCAAAAATATGTCCTTTTACCAGCACTCACCTCATGGCAACTGTAACATCATCACAAGTATTATACTCACTGTTCATTGTTAATCATGAGATTCACACATTTCAAGCCACATCATGCAAACATATGCAGATAGAGATATTAAAAAGGTTAGAACAGATCAGAGGACAGATGAAGCTCATGAAGACGCTAGCCTCGCATCCACTGTCTCTGAGAGCTGTGAGCCACTGAGGCCAGTCACTGTGACAGGCCCCAGAATAAAAATTTGGACTCAAACAAATGTGCATAAAGCTGTTCTATATCTGTAACTGGACAAGATTCTCCACTAAACGACTTACATAAGATCTTTCTCTAAAAGCCTATAAAAGAACCATCGTAGTTGTTTTTGTCTATGCACACCTGTAAGTCGAATGAATGAAATAATGTAGAATGAATAGGAAATGTATACTGTTCCCACACACACGAACATAACAAGCACTGATGGATGTACAGTGAAAATGAAGTGAGTCACTCAAATACATTTTCACATTCTTTAATCCAGGTTCATTCGCAACAAGCTGCACGTGGAAGAAATGTGGCAGTAAAAGAACAGAACGAGAGAGGAAATGTAATGGCGGTATGTGTACAGTACATGGTGACAGATGCATATCAGATATTGTTGAGGGTTTTTTTTGCATTCTCACAACCTACTAAGTCCTAGTAGGGTGGCTAGGTACACTCATCACTGCTTTTTTCAATTTGCAAATTAAAGTTTTTTTTGCACAATATACAGTAGGACTTGTTATAACTTGTTACATAAACACACTTCTTTAATATGTGTCATTTAGTGAGCTAACATGACACTAGAAACTATTTCTGAAAAGGTTATCTGTAGGTTTTTTTAATAAATGAAGCACCTGCTGAAGCTCTCCATAAATGTTTTAACAATATTATTGGTGTACTGATTTCATGTTCATATAGGACTCTCTTCTGAAATTTCCAGTATTACAGTACAGACAAAAAGCATAAAACTGCACTTTAAAGCTGAAAATGTGATACATACAAAATAATTTGAGCTGCAGAGAAAAGACAATAAACATTCCAGAGGTTACCCAAAAATAAACCCATCATACTGTCTATCCTAAAGGCACCTTAGACAAAGATATATCCCTGTGTTCGAGTGGTTAAAGGGGTTTGAGGGCTGAAAAAGAGAAGGGAAAAGCCTTACTACTGCATGGGAACACTATATCGCCATAAGAAAGGCTACATAGTAGACAAATGCAGCTTTCATTGCATAAAAAATTCTGTCACTGATTGTCTAAAAGCATAATTTAAAGACATAGAATGTAGGTCTGTCAAATTAAAAGATCAGATTCAGTTTCATTTCAACATGTCAAAAAGCTCCACGCTTTTCCATATGGACAAGCTTTGTACGTGACACTCCGTCATTTGTGTTGTACTTCTATGCTGCATTTCTGCTAGAAGGTCAATTTTAAAGATAACAAAACATGCATGGGGAAAATTTTCTCCTGATCATGCAGATCTTGGTTCTGGATTTAGACTCCCAAGTCTAACAACAGGAGGAGAAAAAGACAACAATATATAAAACAATAAGCAATAAAACACACAAAGAGACAGGACAAATCAAAAATCATGAAAACAATGTCCAACAAGCTCTGTCCTGCTTCAACACACAGTCCCCCTGACATACTGCTGGAGGACGTTATGTTCCCCTCTTTCTTTTATATCCTCTCCCCCATCTCAACTGATCCCAAACTGCCAGCTCAGACTGAAAAAGTGATCCGCTCTGATGCATCATCATCATCCTTGTCATCAAGTCTCCCTCCTCCTGCTTTTAATCTTATTTTATGTCTTCCTTCTCAGGCTGGACAGACTTGCTCCCCCTGCAGGTGAGAGGCTGGAATGATATTGTATTCCTAACCAGAGGAGGCGGGGAGATGGTGCCTCTGATTCCACCAAGGGGGTTAAAATTGGAAAGTCACTAGGATTGATTAGACAGGTAAGTGGAGCAGGGGCAGGGTCACACCCTGCTGGTCGGGTGGCAACAGTAGGTGCAGCTGGGCCTAGGGTCTGCCCCGCTGTCAACATTCTGGGAGCACCCTCCCTCACAACAAGCCTCTGAGAAAGAAGGAGATAAGAAATGTCATCAGTGCTGAAGCTGTTTGACACCAAAGTCAGTAAAAATAAATAAATACATTACACCCCTTCTGTGCTTGTGCCACTACTGTATTTACAGTCCTCATAAATGTGTGTCAGATCAACTAATAAGTCAGAGAGAGAACTGTGCAGCTCTAGAAACTGAAACCACAGCTGGCACCTGCAGCTTCCTCTGGCATCAGCAGAGGTCCCTCGTGGCTGGTGCCTAGCTGAAGACGCCTCATGTGACGAACCACTGCTGTGGCATTGAATGCTTGCTGCAGAGAAAAAGAAACAAATGCAACATGACCCAGAAAGCAGCAGAACCTCATTCTACCTGAAACTGGTAGTTTACTGGATACAGACACCAGCCTAAAGCAGTGGTTACGAAAATATTTTGGTGAAAGGTGCTGAATTTACGAGGGTCAAGTGAGACCCAAAACAAACTCAAACTATAAACCACTCCCTTCTGCTCTTTGCCCCTCCCACCCTGTTCCCCGAAGCTATGACATGAACTACAAGTCTGGCTGTGACAAACAGTACAAAAGGCAGCCTCCAGTTCAAAACTAGCATTAGCTGAGTAACAAGGCTCTGTGGCAGCACTGCAGCAGCGTATCAAGTGAAGAGATCAACAATGTATGGCTAATGTTGTTTGTAGACCGTGTATTTACTTAGACTTATGTCTGTTTTGATGGGAAGATAAGACAGCTAAGCTACTTCAACTTTTATGTTGCACCATGATGGTAGCAGGGATGTTGAACCGCACCTAACACACAAGTCAGTTGAGGTTAGGTAACTTTAGTTAAGGATTACAAAGTTTGTGTTGTGTTTATTTTCAGAGGCACAGATGTGATAGAGGCCAGTGTGACTTATAGCTGCCAGGAGGTCCTCTGTGGTTGGCTGTTCGTAATGACTGCTCACGGTTTAAAGGCTTTTTATAACGTACACTAGGTAGCAGGTGGGGCTAATTTACAAACTGTATTTTTGACAACTCAGGGTAGAGAAGCTGGAACAGAAAGGCTGTGAATAGCAGCAGAGTGTCATGGAGAGGCACCGTATAGCTGAGAGACACCATGTCCTGTCCCATTTTCACTTGATTTAACAGATAACGTGTAAAATCTCTACGTGCTACTCCTCACAACAGGGTGCACATTGTGAGCAATTCATTACAGAGTGAGTTTTACCTTCTCAGACTGTTTCACTAGCAGTTTTGAGAAGAACAAAAATTTAGACTATACAGAATTAGCAAAGAAAGAAAAAATTAAAAAAATTTTTAAAATGTTTTCATTGTTTCATGACAGTGTTAACTGTGACTGCCAGACATTCATCTCACAAACCTTGAGGAGGTTCTGACCCCAGGTTGGAAACCACTGGCCTAAAGAGTTGTTTCTAACAATTCACACATGGCTATATTTTGGAGGTATTCCTGAAGTTCAGGTCAAGACCAGACATTATGCTGTAGTTAAACTGTATTCTCTCTATGTATACATCCTGCACATAAATATAGTAACTAGCATCCAAGATGAACTAAGTGTGACTAACCTTCCACTTGCTCTTAGCAAAATTCTTCTTGATCTGGGCGCTAACAGACTCATGGATGTTCTTATCCAGGGCAGTGTCCCCAGCGATCCTGACAAAGAGAGGGATAATGAAGCCTAAGAGTGTGTCTGTGCTGTAGATAGCAGTAAAAACTGTATAGCTACAGTAACTATTAGCACCAAGGGTTGTATTATTTTGTCAGGCTGGATTAGCTACATAGGCAAATCACCAAAGTTACAGTGTTAAAGAGATATGTGTTCTGTCACTGTGTGAGTACAAGTACCAAGGGTGCTGCAGTGCCTGCTCACAGGTGTAACGTATGTTGGGGTCTTTCTCCATCAGGTGGACTATAAAGTCTTTAGCTGTAATGAAAATGAAAGATTAAAAAAGCTGCCAGCTGCACACAACTGCCTCAGTTTATTTATTTATGAAGGAACATGCTACAACATCATTTTGGAATGTAGTGTAATAATATTTCAGCCTCTGAAAAACAAGATAAAACAATCTTGAGGTAATTCTAATACGGCAGAAAATTGGCCGCTGCATCAGTTATATAATCGTTCTAAGCGTTAGAGATCCTCGCCTAGAGCAGGGCAACAGGGACCCAGTCCAAAAGATGGGACTGGAAAAAAATAACATGGGAACACTGCCATGGCTTGTGGGCTCAGCACCTGCAAGGTGATCGCTAGGAATCAGACAAAATATTTACTTGCTTGGAAAACTTGACACATCAGTCTCTCTGAACAGGAACAAGCTTGAGACGATGCGTGAAGAACAGACTCTGGAGACAGGCTCTTGGATTAAAGGTGATCTGTGACTTGTACTCAGGATATGCTGTTTAGTCAGTGGTTGTTTGTTCTAAGCTTATTTAAGCCTCCATACGCTGTTTTCTGGTTGTTTAATTTGTATGTGCATTTCATGTTGGATTGTATCGACTGAAACTTGAAATGCTGCCGTCTTGGCTAGGTGTCCCTTGAAAAACAGGATGCTAACTTCAGTGGGATTTAGCTGGTTAAATAAATTGAGAATATCGGGTGGGCGAGTGGATTCTGACAAGCTCCTGACTGCCTCATTCAGTGCTGGAGTTTGTCCCACTGCATGAAAATACCTGTGTATGTTGTACACAGGAAAACTCCACTGTTCCCAGTGCACCTGACAGCAGACAGACTGTTTAGGTGTTGGAGCGTTTTAGGGGAAGTCGTCCGTGAACTTTCATCTTATATTATTTATCAAGACAACACTTTTTGGTGAAGTAACTTTGGCACAGATAATCCAATTAAAAACTTTTCATGACTTGCTACAAAATGCTGCAATAAAAACTGCACATTTTATACAAGGCTTATGAGGACAACTCATTGTTTTTAGGACATTATAAGCAATTTAACGTTCTTTGTCATCTCACTGACTTTTTCATGACTTTGTTTAACTTTGGAGTTTTTGGGAAAAGAGAAAACACACAGCAGACCCAGGACATATTGAACATTCCCACATGACCCTGTTCCCTGTTGCTAATTTTAGATCACATAGTCTCTGATGAACTTAATAAACACTTGGGAGACATATACATAATCTAAGAAATCATCTAACATTTACATTTACTGCATATGTATGAAAGTTCTATCTCACACTGACATTATAGGAAAAATGGCCTGCTACCTGAATCCGAGATATCATCCCAGTAAGGAGAATCAAACTCATATTCAGACTTCAGGATCTGCTCAAACAGTTTGGCATCATTCTCATCATAGAACGGAGGGTAACCACACAACCTGAGACAATACAAGCAAGGACAGGTGTCATTAATGCAAAAAATGGAGACAATTACCGCTGCATCATATGTGAAGAATTTCCAGGAGTGAAAAGTGTCCCTCCTGTGTTAGGTTAGGCCCATTAACAGAGTACTCACAGAATATAGGCTATTACACCAATAGACCAGCAGTCCACTGCTTTACTGTAGGGTTTCTGGGCCAACACTTCAGGGGCTGAAAGAAATAAGACAAGGTATTTCACTTATGAAATATGACATACAGTAAGATGGGTCGCCTATTATATGACACTGCTTCTATTTCTTTGTTAGTATCAGTGTACCATACCTATTTAAATCCCTAAACTAGCAGCCTATTACCTCCTGCCTGCTCTAGCAGGCTACACAGACTAAACTGTGTCAGTGTACTGGACTAAAATGAGTCAAAATACAGTACACTGAAGCTGCTGAATATCTATATCTATATGAGATAGTCACAGTATCTTAACTATAACACTCTGTGTGACAGTACTAGCAGGAAAAGATGGTTGGTGCAATATTTTTTGTCTTGCTATACAAAACGCACCTTTCTAATTACTTTAGCAATCATATTTCTCATTTAGATTTTTCATAAGATGTGGTGTGAAACCAATAATACACTGCAAATTGTGCTATACAGTATAGTGTTAAATTGGCACTGCACTAATACTGCATGTCCACTGCCATGTAAAATTGATCACAAACAGATCTTCTGCTTCAAAACCGTTTTGGATTTCTTTACCAACATATCCAGGCGTTCCGCAGGCTGTCGACATCACACTGCCAGAGTCCTCGATTTTAGACAGACCAAAGTCACTGATCATGATTTTGGAGTCTTCATCCATGCTGTAGTACAGCAGATTCTCTGGCTACGATGAGGAAGAAAAACACCAAAACAAGGATGTAAATCAAGTACTATTGTACCTGCAATGCTATTCCTAAGAATACAAATACACAAATGCCTCCATGACAACCATCACATGAACATGTTAGGACAGAGTAAATACTAATAACTATAAAAGCATTATATGCTGGTACAAACAGGATTATGAAGACAATCCTAGTAAAGGTTTGTTTCCTATCAGCAAAGCCACACTAAAATGGAAAATTACAGTAAACACTTCTCTCTGATCTGACCTTGAGGTCACGGTGCACGATCCCCATGTCATGGAGGTATTTGACAGCATCCAGAATCTGCTGAATGAGCTTACTGGCATCTTTCTCTGTGTAGAAGCCTTTCTCTATGATACGATCGAAGAGTTCCCCACCAGACACACTGCAGTATGGTGGAGAGATTTGTTCAGTAAAGTGAAGTACAGAATGAAAATATTTTGAGGGATGCAAGAGAGGAGTGGTGAGAGAAGTATAACAAGAAGTGATGTGAATATATTAGCTTTAAAGTATCTACAGACAGAAGTGACTTGTCTTTGGTTCAAAGTTCTGCTGTAACTCTATAGTAGTGAAATGTACTACATGTCTATAAACAAATACATAAAGACGGACAGGAAATGACCTGCTGTGGGGTGAATGAAACCACATATAGTGTAATACTTGATATTAGAATGAGAAGCCACTAGATGGAGACTGCACTCTGTCTACAGAACACATGCTAATGATATGGGTGTGTTTATCAAAGCCTCCACTGTTAATCACTCACACATATGCGCACACAACAAACGCACCTGATATTTTAACATACCCTGAATTAAATCAGAGAAGAGGTAAGACAGATACAGAGACAATGAAGAAATGAGGGAGAGGAGTAAAAGAAAAGAAGAACAAAAGTCAGGAACGTGACAGTCTGAGCTTGGTAAATGTTAACAGTTACAAAGGATGTCACCAGATGCTCCCAACCTAGTGATGGGTGATTTCAACCATTGTAGACTGAGGAAGTCACTAGGGAACTTTTATCAATACGTGCCTGAACAGACATGGTCAAATCAGTGCCCAGACCTATGGCATACAGGTCAGTGATCAGGGCACCGTTGGGGCCGTCTGACCACAGTGTTGCATGTTTGCTGCCAGTGTACAAACCATTAGTAAAAAGGCAGAAGGTGGAGCATTGTGTTGTTCCTGTCTGGTATAGGATTGCTTTGGCTGCACAGACTGGGACGTATTTATTCGAAGCTGTGCTGATGTGGTTGAGCTGGCAGAAACAGTGACACTTTATATTTCCTTCTATGAGGAAGTGTTCACTCCAAGGAAAGTGATTCGCATCTACCCTAATACTAAGCCATGGTTTGCCAGATCAGTTATACTATGTTTAATCTGGGGAACATGGCACAGTATAGAGGACTTCACAAACCAGTTGAGAGAGAGCTAAAGCTGGCGAAAATTAATTGTAATGACCGAGTGGAACCCATGCTTAGTATTTGTATTCTCTCATTCTGCAGTGACAGGCCTAAAGATGATGATGGGGATTCAGCACACAAAGGAAGGATAAAAGCGATCTTGATCTTTCTAATGACTGATCAGCTATTATAATTGATTTGATATGTTTGATTTTAGTAAGAAATTGTCCCATTTTAGGAATGCTGCTCCTGGACAGAATGGTGCACAGATTGACAAGACCAGGGTTCTTGAGGGCCTGAAGGGCATGCAGATGGAGCAAAGTCCTAGCCTGGATGCTACAGGAGGACACATTCTTAAGAGCTGTGCAAAGTATTTGGATGACATCTTCTGCTACACGTTTTCTTTGGCTCAAAGAAACACAAAGTGTCCCTTGGACATGGAAGCAATCTATTATTATTCTGGCACCCAAAATGGAATTTGTTCAGTCATTAAATGATTACAGGTCTGTAGCCCTTACTTCATTGGTTATGAAGGTCCTTGAGAGGACTGTGGAAGAGGCCCTTTTAGGCAAGGTACAGTAAACTGGACCCCAGGCAATTTGCCTATAGGGCGGGAAGAGGTGTTGAGGGTGCAATGAGCACTCTTTTAAACTTGGTTTTAACACATATAAATAAATTGTGCACCTGTACATGGTTGGTTTATTATTGATTTTTCTTCTTCCTTTAACAGCATCCAGCCCCATATTTTGGCTAAAAGTTTAGAGAACCTTTATAACATTGAGGTCTGATTTGCTGGCTTGTAGACTTTTTAACAAATAGGTCGTAGCATGTGAGGGTGAATAATACCCTATCTGATGCTCTGTGGTCTTTTACCAGTTTTCCACAGGGCTCTGTTCTTTTTCTTTGTACACCAACTCATGCCAGCTGTATAAGAATAGGTTTATTATCAAGTTTGCGGATGACTCTGTTTTTGTGTCTCTCCTTAATGATGATGATGATCACGGACCTCTGGTGACCGAATTTACAGAGTGGCGCAAAGCATCGTATTTGAAGAAAAAAACTAAAGCGATGATAATTGATTTTCAGAAGATTCTGGCAAATGTTGTGGCTGTAATAGTATGGACATATAGGGTCTGGCACAGGTCAGGATTTGGATATAATGCACTGTTTGTAAGGGATGGGTTTTACATTGCGTTTTGTTTGATCTGTTGATTAATTGAATATCTGTTGTGATGGTACTGTTGGCTACATACAAATTGGCCCTCAGGGATAATAAAGTTACTCTTTAGACCCCACTGAGCATTCAGGTGTGTTTCCAAGTGACTTGACCCCTCTGTAACAGCGAAGTTGAACAACAATGTCCCCTGTGTCACTGTGCCAACATACATTAAATCCTATCATGATAGTACATTACCATTCCCTCAGAAATTTTCAAATCTCCTTTTAACATTATTTTGACATTTCTAGGCCAAGTTAGAAATAAAACTGAAAAAACACATCTATTACTGTGGTGATGCGCTGTGTGCTACAAGAAAAAGCATGAAGCTAGGAATCAGAAATGACATAAACCATAGACTGCTGATATATTGTTGTAGGCCAACCCGGAAGTTAGCACTGCCCTGATTCCCTTGACAAAAAGCCAATTGGATTTTGCCATAAGCTTTTGGAATATTGCACAAAATAAGCTCTGTGACAAACAACAGTTTATGGCACTTACATGTTTTGTTTAGTAGGATAATCTTTTTTTTAAGACATAAAAATGTTCAAAATCACGAGTGGGGCATTTACTGATGTATTTTATGTATTGGAACAAAATGTGAAAATGTACTGGCCTTGTGTTAACCACATAGTTCAGGCATCTAACCAAAAACCAAACCAGAACACCCATGGACTCTGGGACGAGGGAACAGGAAGTGCAAAAATGCTAATTCAGTTCTTGATTTTAGGACTCACTATTATGGCACTTTTACATTACGAGTTCACAAATGTATTGCCAGGTAATGCAGTAACTATCGCAAATAAATTGAGAAACAGAAGTACTCAAGAAAAGAATTCCTCACCAGTCCTTCCCTTGATAAAAGTACACCCCCGCCTCTCTGTCTTTTATTCCTCTGGTTTGCCGCTGACTGTGGTTAATGCATAAATGACTGATATTTTCATAAACCTCTTAGTTAATAGTGCTCCTGATCCTGCTCTGTCCTTTCTCTCATTCTCTCTCTCTGACATTTCAGGAGTTGAGCTGGGTGGGAGGCTGATAGGCTGCAGGTGTGAGGCAAACTCCACACTGCTGCTCATGAGTAGGCCTAGCACAATGTTTACCTTGTGTGTTTGTATTCATGCACATGACACATGACATGTAGTGAGTGGGAAACAACACAAAGGTTTGAAACACACATCACACACGAACAACCCCTACAAACCTACACATATGTGAATACTTACAGTTGCATGACAAGGTAGAGGTGTGATTTACTCTCAAATATCTCTTCCAGAGATACAATGTTGGCATGTTTAATCCTGTGAGGAGGGTGAGAAGAGAAAGAAGACAAGAAATTCAGTTCATCTTATTATTTTTCTTATAATACCCATTATTCTACAAGTCATTTTCACATAGACAGTATTTACTAAATATTGCCTGGAGGCAGCAAAAATAATTCCACTGTGTCATGAGAGTTACTTTGGAGTTTGAAATCTTGCCCAGTAGATATGGTTGGGACTGTCAGTGTATGTGCCAACCAGCAGCTTCAGCCAATAGTTACATGTACTGCTTAATGGGTACACTGACTGGTGGCATGCAGCTCCCTAATTGGCTGAACTCTATGTTCTGCTGCCCCTTGAGACCCGTGGGTGCAGTGAGAGGGGATAGGAGAAATGACTCACCATATCAAAATCGGTACTGTACGTCTCTGCCTGAACACTGTGTACTGTTATCATACCTATATCATGACAAACATCTGTCTCTTACACATGCTGTCATCACTTACGCAATTAATTGTTTCAGTGCAGCATGAGGAAATGACATAACACACAAAACAAATAAGCTAACAAAAATTTTAACATTCCATAATGAATGACACAGCAGACATCTTTTGTTTAGCATTTCCTGTTTAACTTAAGAAGGACCGTGGTGCATAATGAGAAGCTCATTTGCATTTCTGTGGGAAGCATTTTCTGACATTCGCTTATCACAAGGAACCTTGATAGCACTTTTAGCTTATTGTAATTTAAATGTGTTCTTGCACCAGGAAAGATAGTTTTAGGATGGGATGTAATGCCTATTTAAACCCATATTCTCCTGTTAAAACACATGTATATTCAATGATACGTCCACCTTCCACTAAACGTAAAGTTAAACCTCACTATACTCTTTAGTATCAACCAAAAAGTATTCTTAGAATTGAATACTGGTAACAGTCAAGTGGCAAAAGATTACCTTGATTATTTGGCCAGATTCCTAATGTCATTTACACCACAAAGTTTCTGATTTAAGTCAGTAATTTGTCAATTTTACAATAAAATTTTTTGATTATTATATTTAGACAGTTGCCTCTGCAGCAACTTCAGACAAACAGGCATATCTAACCAATGTGATGATATCAAATGGCGACATTAGTTGGCCTGGGCATCCATCTTACAAACTGTGATCACAAGAGAGAAGAGCTGAGGGTCATCTGGCTCTGCATCTGCCTCAACAAACTGAGCCATTAGACTGAACTGATAATAAATTCACTTCTTTTATATACAGTAACACATACAAACACTGTTACAAGTACTGGCTGGAAACACAGAATAAACACCAATAATTTTACAGTGAGACACTTAACTAAAGCTATTAAAGACAAATCAAGATGGTAAGTTTGGCTGTGGCCTCACTGGAAGGAGCAACAGAGAACAAGTGGGCCACTCTCTTAATCTCAGGGTGTTGCTGTTTGTGTTTTTGTTTATGCTTTGTTTGCATGTTAACTGTCTCCTGGGGTGTACCACTGTAGAACAACATTTTTATTTGGATTGCATAGAGGACACAGTGACAAAAAGTTGCTCTCACTGGAATAAAATGGCGTTTGATTTTCAGCATTTAACTGGACTAAATAACAGAAAGGGAGAAAATATAGTGTAATTTCATGACCTCACAACCCAAAGCAAACAGCAAACATAAACATATTACACTATTTTTGCTTCAGTTACGTCGATTCACAGCATCACTCACACTTGGGGGACTTCAGGACAATGTGTGAAAATGAGTAATGAAACCTCTGTATAAGATTATACAAACATGAGACAGAGCAAAGAAGACACAATTTTCAGGCCAAGTTTACCTCAGTTTACTTCATTTGTCAAAACTGTAACCAAACTGTTAACTGACCCCCACCACTCTCATTCCAGCATCCTCACCTCAGGATGGATCATAAATGTACGTTCGCTAGAGTTGTGTGTCTCCTGTAACCCAGGCAACAAGAGCTCTAAAAATAACTGGGGACCCAGTGTAGATCAGCCATTTTCACCACGGTCTGTAATTCCCCACATCTAAAGAGAAGTACGTTTGAAGCAATCTACAATTACCACAAGTGTTACTGTCACTTCCTTTTGTTCTAATATAATAAAAACATTACATCTCTTGCACAGGTAGAGAGAAAAGTTGTGCATGAGCTGGGTGAAGAGGAGTCATGTGCAGTAGTTCTTGTGGGTATGAACATATAAGGATGTTTTGCATGATAGCCATTTACACGCAAAAACACATTTGCAACATTAAAAGACTACAATTAATTGTACATAGGGTTGCAACGGTATGTAATCGTCTCAGAAAATATCATGGTTTCACAGTATTACACAGTTACTGTTATTATGTATCAATTACAACAAACAAATTACTGAACTGCACCTGGAAAAATATTATAGAGTGTGGATACCTGAACCGAGCCCGATGAGACCCATTGGTGCCTGAGGGTTCAGGCCAAGTCCAGACGGAAATTTAGATATTATGTTTGGGTCCAGGTTGGGTTTGGACACATAGGTCAATCTTTAGGCTAGATGGCTGGAGCACTCAAATGTCTGCTTCATTTTATGATAAAGGGAAAAAACATGGTACAGCCTCAACTGCATCAGGCTCAAGTCGGGTTCAGCCATTATATATACACGCTTGTTGGTTCCAGGTCAGGTTTGGACAGAACTATGTGGCCCTATCCATACTCTAAAATACTGTAAGAACCACACCAACCAGCTGACTACATACTAACTGCTGTAAAAGAGAGAAAAAATGTAAAAAAAAATTTGGGGTGAAATGGTCTTTTAACTCCCTAAACATGGCTTTAATTTTGGAATATAAGGAAGGTATGAGTAATGTGATATAACATACAGTAGCAGTAATGGAGAAACAATGATGAAAAATTAACCAACTTGAACCTTAGCTAGCACTGAGTATTTCAGATGCAGGCTAATGTTGCACATAACTAAAGGCCTGTGGCTACAATACAAACAGTCTTTAAAAAAAGCTATTATATTTTATCAATTACTATCATGTTATATTAATTAATACAGAAATATAGGATCTATTATTGCACATTTTCCAAACCACAGACATCCACTTACTTGTGTAAGACCGCAATCTCATTTTCAATGCTGTTTTCCTTGCCCTCTAATGCCTTCTTGGGGATACACTTGACAGCCACTAGCTTCTGCGTCCTCTTCTCCTCGGCCAGGACCACCTCAGAGAAAGCTCCCCTGAACACAAACAGACAGGTCAGTCTGGTGTTTAGGCAGAACTCTTCACATGCATTTGTGACATCGCAGAGGAAAAAAAGGAAACTCCTGCTTTGATGTTAACTGGCCAAACTTTAGTGATAACTTGGCTACTTACATCTACAGTAAGTGCTGGTAGAAATTCTAGCCTGCTGATGCCAGGTTGTGTTTATTTTTTTACTTCTTTTAAGTCACCGGGTTGCTGCTGAGTCAAGTTTTGGAGGGGTGACAACTTGGTGGGATGATCTTAACAAATTGATGCCAGCCCAAAAATAGTTTCAATTTAAAATCTCACCCACATGATGCCCATCAATCAACTGGAGGGTGACAGTGTACATTATTATTCTGTTGTACATATAGTAACAGGTTTCCTTCTGTCTCATATTTTCTTTTGACATGCTTTATGTTAAAGTTAATAACACTGCAAATGCTTCACGTTAATTGATAAAATTTTTTCCAATGTGCACTACATTGGTTAAATGCTACTTTATCAATGATACACCAGGCATTCTGACATATATTTAACCATCTAGTCAATCATATTGATTTCATTCTTGAATCACTGTTGTGAATCTTTAAAAGACACAAAGACAGGATAACCTTGCATCAGTACCTGCTTGTGAAATTCTACAAACTCCATAATGCAGAAATACCCCATGAGTATGTGTCTATGTGTGTGGCCAGGATGTATGTGGGGCATGTACCACAATCACATATAGCAGCATGTGTGAGCAGAGTGGAACCACAATCAGTCACAGGTTTGAAGATACATTATCATTTTATCATTTATAAAACAAGGAGGGGCTGCCAGTGGCACCAGAAAAAGAAACTACATGATCTACAGACTTGTGATGGATTGGCGACCTGTCCAGGGTGTACCCCGCCTTCGCCCAATTGCCGCCCCCGTGACCCCGTTCAGGGATTAAGCGGTAGAAAATGAATGAATGATCTACAGACACTCTATGAACAATGCCCTCTTCTGTGTAGACTAACCGCTGTCCTAAAAATCATGCTTACAATTACATTTTCAAAGCTGATAACAAATCAGAAGCCCAAAAGGGACATTTAGTAAATGTCCTATAACCACGGTTATAGGTCTTCCTTGTCCCATCCTGTTTTGCATTATGTTTTGTGCTGCAATAAATATATATATATTAGAAAAATGGTGGGCGCTTTGCTTTAATTATGTTCTTTTCCCTATAAGTCTCCATAACCTGTTTGCTCAGTTATATTGGGTTTTTCCATTGTGTGTAGTCACACAAGCCATGCCATTAACAGCTGTGAGCAGTTGAGCCATGCTGACATGAGTGTTTTTCCAGTACACCACACAGCAAGGTAAAGTTGTTTACATTGATGGTGTGTTGGAAGAGAGCTGATCACAAACCACAGTAATAGCCTGCCGCCACTGTCAGTTCACTGTGGCCGTTTCTGTTTCCTCCCCTCATTATTTCAAATGGATTGAACAAAGTGAGCATGTTCTGTCAAGATAGAGCATGTACACAAACACACGTTATATTCTCTAGTTCATTTGCAGGCTTAGGTTTTAATCTGGTTTGTGGCTTTAAGAATTGTTTGTGTTTACAAATTGTCACTGGCATGTCATCCACTATCAGTATGACAACTTCCATGTCTACATTTGCTTAAGCAGTCATTTAAAACCAAATGAAATGTTTGAATAAACTATGCTTTTGACTATGCAAACAACAACCACTGATAGCTGCAGTAATGACAACATCTATTGAGTTTTTGGATATAACATGTCACTTAAATGTGCAGTATTTAATATCTGGTTAGTTAATAGAATGAGCCAGTTTCCTGACCAAAGTAACAGTTATCTAGGGAGGGAGGCATTGTGGTCGCATCTCACCAAGACACTAAAACTGCCACAGAAAAGCCATTAGCTTTGGCAGAAATCCAGCTGGGTAGAGGAGTTTGTCAGTTCTGCAAATTCCTCTGTAGCATCTGGAGGACTTAGTTGACATTCTCCATGCACTCACTGGCAGACCAAAGGGCCTGTCAAACAGTGGTTCACACAAAAACTGGGAAAATAACAGTAATGTAAGTAAAGTAACTATGGACAGTCCGCTTATCTGTTCATTATTCTGTACAAATCACTACCTGTGTCACGTCTTTGCCAAGTGAAATAATTGTATTAACCTCATATTCATTGTTTTAGATAATAGACAAGTGATGAAGTTGGTTAAATCACATTAGTGAAGTGGTGTAACATGGAAGTGAAATAACAAAACATTCTCTGACAAAAAGAGAAACCTTTGACTTCCTGCCACCAAACTGGACATTGTTTTTGTGTAGTTCCAGATGAAACTTCCTTCTTTCTAAATGTCAGACAGCTGTAGGGTAATGGCCAATGCTCTTGAAAGCAAAATCTTTAAAGTGAGACTATGTAACTTTTGTTGAACAGGAGCTATTGTTGCGACCGTTCACCATCAGCCTGCCACTTGGCA